GGACAGAAGGTCCATCCTTATGAGCAAAATAAAGACGCAATGCGTGTGCTGATCTTGCCTGCACCCGCCGTCCGTCCCATGTGTAGGCAGAGGGCACATTGAAAGCAGCCAGGGCTGGTGGGTAAAGTGCCGCTCGAGATTGGCAGGTCTGCAGAGTGTACGTCGGTGTGATTTTAGGCCTTGTGTGCCATTTGGTTTGATTTGGTAGGTTATTTTTTGGTTCTGAGAACACAGAAACATTTCTGTCTAAATGAATGATAGTTGCTTCTTGGCTTTCCGCCTTTCCGCTTAAGAACAGTTTCATAGGAACCCTCTGCCTTTGGGTAGCGGGGCCTGTGCTGCTGTGAAAGAGCTCGTAGCCCCAGGGTCCGTCTTGGCCCTGGCGAGCTGGGCTGGTAAGGGGACGTTGCTGTGCCAGAGGCACTTGTGCTCACAGGTGCAGGGGGGCTGCAGGGGGACCTGGCAGCAGGAAGGGAGGACAAGGCGGCACCTCAGGCTCCATGGTAGGAAGCTCAGAGTGCCTGCAGGGCCTCCCATGCCTCCCTCGTCTCCAGGCTGCTTGCAGCCCCTGCGCGGCAGCTCTGCCCCCGCCAGGACTTGGGGCCGGGGCGCTTGGAAATGTATCTGTCGTGTTGCTCAGTGTTTGCCTCTCCATTGTGAGGCGCTTGGGGCCGAAGCAGAGCTTGGAAGCTTCCATTTTGAGTGTTGTTTCCCCCGAGCGATAACGTAAAGATGGGCCTCGAGCTGGAAAGGTGAGCTGCTGGCTTTGAGAGTAAACTATTGGGACACCTCAGTGTAATTTTCTAATCCTGAGAGAACGTGAGGGCGGAGCAGTTGGCTGTGTCAGCACGGATACGAGGAAATGAGAAGACCCATTGGCTCTTTACCTTCCACGCTTAAAGCCAGGTTGAGATGACGAGCTGCGGCCCTGCCACAGGACCGGCGCCTCCGGGCTGTCAGTCCGGCGCCTCACGCAGCAGCTCGGGCCTGAGCCGTTGACTTTGACCTTGTCTCTGAGCTAGTGCCCCTTCGTCCCGCTCCCGCCCAGCTCGCAGTCCGGTCTCTTCATCGTGGCTATTTTCTGTGATTTTGTCTTTGAGCCCAGAAGGCAGGGGTCCTCAAACTTTTTTTTTTTTTTTAAATATGTTTTATTGATTTTCTACAGAGAGGAAGGGAGAGGGATAGAGAGTTAGAAACATCGATGAGAGAGAAACACCGATCAGCCGCCTCCCGCACGCCCCCCCACGGGGGATGTGCCCGCAACCAAGGTACATGCCCTTGACCGGAATCAAACCTGGGACCCTTGAGTCCGCAGGCTGATGCTCTATCCACTGAGCCAAACCGGTTCTGGCCCTCAAACTTTTTAAACAGGGGGCCAGTTCACTGTCCCTCAGACCGTTGGAGGGCCGGACTATAGTTTTAAAAAAAACTATGAACAAATTCCTATGCACACTACACATATCTTATTTTGAAGTAAAAAAACAAAACGGGAACAAACACAGTATTTGTATTTGCATGTGGCCCGCGGGCCGTAGTTTGAGGAGCCCTGCCAGAAGGGGTCAGTATGTGTTGGTTTGGGGGTAAGAACAGCCATGACTGTGCTCCCTTAGTGTCCCTGTTGGGGAGATCCCTTGGGAGCCTGCGTGGAGTCATGACAGAGGCGCTTTGGGGGAGTTTCCTTAAAACTGGATTTAAAATACTTGATAAAATCAAAATGGAACGAAGTAGACTCGCGGGCTTGGGGATTGATCCTTTGTGGGGTGGTTTCTAGAATTGCGGTGGTGGCTGCACACCAAGTGTACCAGGCAACATGAAATTGCACACTTAATGGGGGAGACCGTTATGGAACGTACATTATAGCTTCAGTTGCTATTTTCAAAGCAATCACATGCACATCACTACACGTGATGAGCTCTATGAAAACAGGGTGAGAGTGGGAGGCAGGGGTGGGGTAGCCAAGAAAAACATCAACATTGATGACGTGATTTTTGAAATGAAGGAAACATAAAATGGCCAGTCCAGCGGCCTCTGTGTCCTTAAACCCACAAAACAGGTCCAGAAGTCAAGTTGGTAGAGGTCCTTGTGCTGATCCCTAACCTTCAGGCCGGGCCCCCAAATCTGAACCTTAAACAGCCGTGGGGTGCTCGTGTGCCAAGGCTTGGGGACCACTGCCTCGTGGGTGGTGTTTGGACCCTGGCACTCGGGCCTCCGCCGTCTCCACTGTGGCTGGCACTGCACAATCACTGCAGCGGCCTCCCTGCCACGGCTTCGCTGACAGCCTCGCTATGATGGCTTCGCTGCACGGCCTCGCTGTGACGGCTTCACTGTGATGGCCTCGCTGACAGCCTGGGGAGAGGCGGAGACTCCAGAGGATGGACAGGCAGGGCTGAGGCCTGCAGTTCAGTGAGGGCCTCGGACCAGCATCGCTAAGATTAGGGATTCGCATCCCTTGATCATTTGAATGTCACTGGGCTTCACTGAGGGCGGATTTAGTGACTGGTTTGCCCGTCCTACTCAGTTCAGCCCAGTCTGTGTCGTGTGTGGAACCTAATCTCAGCGTCCTCTCTGGGGTGGGCAGTGATAGTGACACCCGGCCCACAGGGCAGTTTCTCACTTGCAGGAAGGTGTCAGCGTGTTTGCTCCTTCCTCCTCTCCACACAGACAGGAGTGCAGTGTTGACCTCTCTGGAGGTGGGGAGCTCAGGGCCTGTTCCCTTGTCTACTGCACGGTCACGTGAGGCTTTGCAGGACACGAGTTGAAGCTCCACTCACAGCGCAGGTGCACTCGTGGCCACAGCCCGCCACGCAGCAGCCTTTCCACCTGTTAATCCTAAACTGCTGTCGGCCTCAGAAGGTTGGCATCCTGCATCTGGGGGCCCGCCCAGGGCCCAGGCGTGCGGGGGAGCGGGCACAGGTGCTGTGGGCGCCCACCAGGAGGTGCAGGGAAGGCTGAGCTGGGAGGCGCTCACTTTCTCTGCAGCTGCGCTTCCTGTGTGGGGTCGGGCGTTTGCTTCTCACTGTAACCTGGGTGTGTTTTGTTTTTTCCAGCGTCCGGGGATGGAGAATCGCTGGTAAGATTGTGTCGTTACTGAAAGCCTCTTACTGGCTGTAGAGCCTGTATTTCCTCAGTAGTTACCTACTTTCTTTGTAGCCTGTTCCTCTTCCCTGAACCCGGAACCCGGGCGGGAGGGTGGGTTGTGTTCACTGCCCTCTGTTCCCCGTTGGGCTGCACTTTGCTGCCTCCCCGCCATTGCACTGCTATGCCTTTAAAGCAGCTGAACCTCCTGGCCTGTCACCTGGCAGTGCTGGCCCTGGGGCTGTAATCCCGTTACCAGGGGCGGGAACGTGAGAACAGGCTGTCAGTCCCACTGAAGGGAGTCATCCGGGGATGGAGAATCGCTGGATGAAGATTCCGAGTTCACGCTGGCCTCCGACTTTGAGATCGGACACTTCTTCCGTGAGCGGATAGTCCCGAGGGCCGTGCTGTACTTCACGGGGGAGGCCATCGAGGACGACGACAATGTATGTGCCTGCGGAGCCCGGCCCAGGACACATGGCTGCTGTTGGTGTTCGGGGGGACGTGGAGGGAGCGGAGAGGTTCCGCAGTGGGGGAGGCAGGCGGTCCCTATCAGCTTTGGGTCATTTCCAAACAGGAGGGACCCTCATTCACAGAGGTCTGACCGCGCCACGCGGTCATCAGCAGCAGAGCCAGCTCGTGCTGGCCTGTGGCTCCGTGACCTCAAAGGGGTGCGGGCCGCGCTCTGCAGAAAGATCGCTGCGCGGAGACGAGCCGTCCCCAGCCAGAGTGGAAGGTGGCCCCGAGCACACCTCCCAGGACCTTCCAGCCCTGGGTCCATCACCTGAGGCAGCCTCCTTCACAGCCCCGGTGCCCTTGGGTCCTGATTACTGGTCACAAAGTTCTGTTTCGTTCAGTATGTGTGGAAGGGAGGAGGGGGAGAGAGAAATACCAATGATGAGAATCAGTGATGGGCTGCCTCCTGCACACCCACACTGGGATCGAGCTGCAACGTGGGCATATGCCCTGACCAGGAATCGAACCCTGACCCCCTGGTTCATAGGTCGACACTCAACCCACTGAGCCACGCTGGCTGGGCACCAAGTTCTGTTGTGTGGCTTGTTGCTGGAGGGGTGTTTCAGGTGATGTTTAAGCCTTGCTTTTAGAGCTCTGGCGGCTCCTGGTGCCTCTAGGTTTCCTTGCTTGCGAGGTCTGCTCCCTTGCACCCATCGCCATGCAGGCCTGCTCCCCTCACTCTCCTGTGCTGAAGGCCCTGCTGGGCTGTGTGGTTCGGGCTGGAGGGCGCTGTGGGCTCGGGTACGTGTCCACACAGCTCGGCCCGTGCTCGGCCACGTCAAGTGCTTGCGAAGACTTAGGGTTTAGGAAATGCTGGTCACACGACGAAGTGAAGGCGGGAGTTCTGGTGTGTCTTCCATCTTCTGGGTCGTCTTGCTCGTCCCAGGGGCTGTGCGCCCCTACATATAACCAGCTCTACCAAGTGTGAGATGGGTTTGAGACAGACCTCAGATCTCTCTAAAGGAGGCCCCCGTGAACGGGTGCACGTAGACGCTCCGCAAACCCGCACCTGAGCCTGTGGGAGACAGAAAAGGACACGTAGATTCCTGTGTGCTGCCGTGTGCTGAGCTCAGCATCGGCCCGTGTCCTGGTTGGCCCGGCACACCCAAGCTGGCAGTCTCCTTCCTTCACCCCCATTATTAGTCCTTTTGATGGGCATCCTATTAATGGGGCAGGGCTGTGGGCGAGCATTCCTGCAGCGCTGGCCCTGCCGGCCGTGGCGTTGGTGCCAGGCATGCCCAGCAGCAGATGGCTCCCAGCACGTGGCCTGCAGCCACGCTGCCCTCTGCTCAGTCCGAGCAGGATTGCGGCCTTTCCTAGGCCTGACCGGTGGGCCCTGGGCAGGGCAGTGTCGGTCGGGTTGCCTCCACACTTTCAAAACCTAAACTGTGTTCCCTTCTTTTTCAGTTTGAAGAAGGTGAGGAAGGAGAAGAGGAGGTAAGGCCAGCTTGTATGTGGCAGCTCAGTGCCTCGGGGGAGGGGTGGGTGGTTCGGCTTGCTCTGCGGAGGGGACAGCGGTGAGCCCTGGGGCCTTGTTACATCCCTTTGTGTGACACGGCAGACGTGGGCCCTGCTGAGAACTGCAGAAAGATGGCAGGAGCCGTAGCAGGATCCCATTGGACCCTGCATTTGGCTGATGCAGTAATGGTTCAATCCACAGAATCAGCGATATGTTGATCTCAGGCCTAAGAAAATTTTGAGTCCAAAGGATGTAGTCAGTTGTGGGTAGCGATGGCTTTCCTTCCGAACTGAAGCGTGACTCTAGTGTGAAGTCCTGTTCACTCCTCTCCACACAGGAGCTGGAAGGCGACGAGGAGGGGGAGGAAGAGGACGATGCCGACGCGAGCCTCAAGGTGAGTTGCTCTGGAACTGCCCACTCCGAGGCACCTGACGCGTTCCTCCAATTAGAACGGTGGCGGGGAGTCAGGAACACTGGAGCGGGACTGCTCAGTGCCTGGAACGGCGGGTGTGCGAGTGGCAGTGCCTGCTTCCCCCGCTCGCTCGGGCTGTGTCCCTCGCCTGGTCTCGTTCTGGTGATGATGTCACTGACACACAGGTGCACTCGTGTGCTTGTTTTTGGAAAGGATGCAAAGATGGCACTTTGAGGGCGGGGGTGGGGGCGTTCTTATATTTTAAATAGAGGCATGAAAATGTAAGTATAATTTACAATTGTACTTGGGCTGAGAATGCTTAGAAATTAAGTCTAGATTTCTCATAATTTAAAATAAACTAGGAAGCTTTTTATAAAAAATGGCAAAAATGAGTGAACAGCCCCATTCATTGTACTGGTGAGTCCGGAGTTGTACTCCTGCTCTTGATTGGCTGAAACCCAGGTGCTTTGCCACGTGACGCGCACTAACCGCAGCGCGGCCTCCCCAGGACTCGCTCCTCACGCCACCGGGCCTTCGTAGCGCGCCTCTCGCTCACCGTGTGTGCGTGTCCCCGTCTTTCCCCAAGTGCATTGTGCCCGACGCTGTGCGTGCAAAGCCTGGTCTTGTCACCCGTCTGTACCACCACCACGTGTCCCTGTGCACGCATGCTCACGCGGGAGTTCCTGCTGGGGAACGAGGGTGGGGGGGGGGCAGGCTAAATGCGCTCACCGAAGCGTTCATCGTTTCACGGTGGCCTGTCCGTCACGGTAACTATTCAACACCCCTGTGCGCACCTGAGTGCCAGCTGGAGAGGCGCAGACCGGGGGCCTGGCCTTGAGTGCTTCACACTTGGGGGACAGGAGTTGGGGGGTGTCTGTGAGCTAACAGAACTGGGTGGTGGTGACCCCTGACACTGCCGTGCCGAGCCCCAGGTGTGTTCTTTGCCCTGGGGCGCGGCTCACCGGCAGCGGGCGCTCGGCTCCTGTTGTTTCCTCCTGGTGTCCGTCCTGTCCCCTCACGTCCTGTGTTCTGGGCACTGTCACCACATGGCACGTGACCTGGCAGAAGGGAGAGGATTGTTGGCACTCACCCCGTGACGTCTCGAGGTGTTTGTTGGGAGTGGGTGGTGCTGTGAATGCTAGAACTGTCGGCCGTGCAGGCAGACGCAGGCTTGTCCTTGTGAGCCCCTGTCCCCCGTCCCCCTGTCCTCTCGTCCTCCCGTCCCCCCGTCCTCTGTCCCTCTCTTCTCCCTGTTTCCTCTGTCCCCTCGCCCTCCTGTACCCCCATCCTCCTGTCCCCCCTCTCCCCGTCCCTCTGTCCCTCTGTCAGATGGCACCTGTGCAGAGGCACTTGTCAGTCTGGGCGGCAATGGAGAGCAGCAGAGTCAGGGAAGGCTAAGCTGTGCGTGGAGGCTGCTGCTCAGCCGCAGCTGCAGCCCTCCCTTCCGTACGTGAGATGGGGCTGCTCCCTCCTGTGAGCGTGTGTGCTTCCTTTCCTCATGCTGACCCTGCCTTTCAATTTCTTTCCCCGTTTAGGTGTAATTTTTGTCTGTTAATCATGCGTTTCTAGGTAAGGTGGAATTCCATTCATTCCTCACTTCCAAATTGTTGATCTGTGCTTATGACAATGCTGTTGTGACGGGGCAGAGCAGGCTGCTGTGTGGGCGCACGGGCCAGGCGGCCACGGGCCTCCTGACCAGCCGTCGTGTGTGGGGCTGTGTGCGCCCGTGGAACCGGCTGGCCGCCACCACTCTGGGTCCCGCTTGCCGAGCCCAGTGTTTCTTGCTGCCCACGTAGCCAAGGGGTAACTGGTGTGGCGTTTTTCTCGATGACAGGACTGCCCTCCAGGAAGAGGACAGAGGGGAGGCCCTGGGAGATGGGCGGTCTGCGGGGCCTCCTGGAGGCAGTCACGGCTTCCCCGCCCCTGCTGCTCCCTCAGTCCCTGTGCCTGTGCCACCCCTGCTCACAGGCAGTCGGAGTCGACCCCGAAATGTTTCTGGACGTGCCTCATCCTTGTGCAGCCAGTGGGCTGTGGGGGGCCGAGCTTGTGCCAGTTTCTTACCTGAAAAGCGACTGCCGTGTGGTGTGGGTGTAGCGCGTGTGTTGAGGTTTCTGCGGTTCTAGCTCAGCGGCAGGTCCAGCTGTTGGTCTCAGCAGCAGCAGCACGCCCAGGCCACTTGCAGGGCGTGGGTCATCGTCGCTGTGCTCCGTCCTGGGCTCCCCTGGGGGGCACTCACCACTATGATGAGCGGGGCGCAGCAGGGGGAGGAAGCTGGGAACCGGAGGCAGACACGCAGGCAGCGGGTGGCCTTCTGGGAAGTCGGGTTCTGCAGCCAGAGGCAGTGGTTCTGACAGGCTGTGCCTGTGAGAGCCGGGACTCGGGGCTTCCTGTCAGAGGTGCCTGGTGCTGGTGCGAGTTCAGGTGGGGCCTTTGAGGGTCTGTCGCACTGTCCTGTCACATTCGTGGGGGCGCAGAGCGGGCTGAAGGTGCGTCCGCAGTGAAGAGAGGATCTGGGCGCTAGGTCAGGGCTGGTCACCTGCCTGCGTGTTGGCATTGCTGTGCCCACGTGTCTGAGGAGCTTGGCTGCCAGGTTGCACCCGAAGCTCACTCCCCACCTGCCAGCTCCTCTGAGCGTCATGAGCTGTGCAGCCTGGGCCTTGGAGCGGAGGACCCGGGGGTCACCGGAGCGCCCCATGCCCAGCGGCGCAGTCTCCTCTGCGCTCCTGCTCGGGGCGCTTGTTAGCCGCTCAAGCCACCCTTCTGTGGTCCCAGGATTGGCAAGGTTTTGGCTATAAGTTTGTGCCTTTGAAACACCAACTCCTCTGCCTTGATCATCGGCATGGAGTGACCACGCTGCCATCACACTGGTATGAAACAGGAGGTTCGGCCTGCATTCCGTTTTGTCCTGTGTCCACAGCCCCTCCTGGCCTTGGCGTGGGCGAGGACTCTTCCTCCAGCGTCTCCACAGCCACACGGGGGTGGCGTTTAGACCAGCAGGCAGCTCGTGTCCCCTGGGTAAACCACAGTGCAGCTGACAGCGTCCCTGCGTCACATGACACGGTGTGTCGTTTATGTCAAAGCAGCGGGGAAAGCCCCCTGTCACCTCTGCAGGCTCCTGAGCGCTCTGCTCCGGCCGCAGCTCGGGGCCAGCACTCGGCTCTTCCCCTGAGAGGACGCTGTTTGGTGCTGAGCTCTGTCGGCTAGGATTGCTGGTCGGGGTGTTGTTTTGGTGTTTCAGGTGAAGGGCAGGGCCCCCAGCCCCGAGAGGCCTGCCACCGGCCCTGGGCAGGGCTGGGCAGACACGGGGCCAGCCTGTGGGTCCCGGCTTGTCCTGTGCTCCTTCCATTTCGTGTGCTAATCGGGAGCTTCGACCCGGGTCCGAGGCTGCTGCTTGTCTGTGTGCCTCCTTTACGTGCACTTCATCCCTTAAACGTGATTCCCAAAGACCAGCTGGAGCCCAGCTCACACCTGAGGGTGTCGGTGGCGTCATCCCAGGTGTTTCTTCTCGGCCCTGGGTGCTGAGGCCATAGGCATGCCGGGTGGGGTCCCGAGAGGTTGGTAATCTTAGCTCGGACGGATGGGTGCACCTGCTCTGCTGCCCACAGCATTCGTGGGGCGCAAGTGTAGTTCCAGTGGTCGGATTACACACGACAGCTCACACTGAAGTGGTTCAGGGGTGGGGGACTCCCCTCTACCTTATCTGGAAGGATAGGATTCCCACTTGGGGGCTCCTGGGAGGGTGGCGGCTTGTCTGTGGATCTTGGAGTCGTGGCTTTGCGGGCATTCCTCATTATCAAGGAGAGGGGCCCGAGGAAGAGGCAGCCCCCCGGGCGCGGGGCTGGGACAGGAGCCCGTCCAGATCCAAGTGTGGATCCTGTCGGGGGAGGGGGTGCTGTGCTGACTCACGGGGCAGTGCCTGGGCACCCAGAGTCCTGGCTGCCGTCCAGCCTGGGAGCGGGTCTCCGCTCTGCCCGGGCCGCCTGCTGCCTTGCCCAGAGTGAGAGGGTCTCACGGGCCTTTCAAACAAAAGAGGCAGCTCTGCTGTGACATTTCTCCGGGAAGTTGGCTTATATTTTTGTTACTTTTTAAAATATATATGTTCTGACTTCAGAGCGGAAGGGAGAGGAAGAGATAGAAACATCCATGATGAGAGAGAATCATGGATCGGCTGCCTCCTGCATGCCCCACTCTGGGGATCGAGCCTGCAACCCGGGCCTGTGCCCTGACCTGGATTCAGTCTGGTGACCTCCTGAGCCACACCAGCGGGGCTTGTTACTGTGTTCCCAGTCTGTCCGTGCACAGTTGAGTGTTGGTTTCCTGGTGGCGGGAGATGGTGGAGGGACGGGGACGGTTCACAAGCCTTGTCTCTCTCGTTGACAGAAGGAGCCCAGCCAGCCCTCGGAGTGCAAGCAGCAGTGAGCAGCGACTGTCGGCAGCGCCCACACCGACCTTGTTCAAGTGCATGGTTTTCACCTCACTTCCTCTTTCCTTATTATTTTGCTTAACCTGTACAGCGGCCACTTACATGCGTTTCAGAAGTAGGAGGTTTGATCTAACCCGCACCCGCCGCGGCCTTGGGTGCAGCTCAGTAGACTTCCCCAGGCCCACCTTTGGGGGCCCGTAGACCACGTGGGGTGGGAGGGTCCCCGAGCCCAGGACAGAAGTCGGGAGTGTCTGCTCCCATCTCTCATTTGGAGACACACCCGCTTCGTGCCCAGCCACCTGGCCCTCTGTCTCCGCGGAGCCGGGGAGCATCCGTGCTGCCGGGGGCTCTTACTTTGGTTTTCTTTTCCTCGGGGTGGGGGTGGGTCGTGGCGCCCACCGTGCTGAGGCGTCAGCGTGGGTGGTGCGTCCCGTATTTATTTGTTCCTCTGCGCTGTGAGCCTCGGGTGCGTGCTGGCGCTGGTCCTCAGGTTTCTGAAACCATGTTTGTGACTGGAGACCTGGGGAGGGGACGGGGGGAGGTGGTGGCGGCTCCTCTGGGAGCCAGGCCTGTGTGGGAGGAAGCGCTCCCTCCTGCCACTGCGGCTGGTGGCGAGCTCCTCTCCTTGCTGTGGGGACCCCTCTTAGCCAGGCCAGGCCCTGTGCCCATCTTCTGTGGGGAGGGCTGGGCTGGGCGGGGCACAGGTGTGCTCGTGTGTAGGTGTCGTGTCTCCTTAGCTCCCATTTCTCAGCCCCACGTCCATCGTGTCTTAAAGCCCTGGGTTCAGAGCGACCTGTTCTTGGCTGGCCTGTGGGGCTCCGAGTGTGTGACCGCATTCCCTGGTCCCTGGTCCCTGGTGGCTGGCGACGGGCCCACGGCGGGCGCACGGACCAGGCCTGGGGAGTGCTCAGCCTTATTCCTTAGACACATTTGTAACTGAAGATGCTGTTTTCGATTTGTACAGACTAGTTAGAGTATCTATTAAAGTGGTGAAACCTGAGCCTGCCTGCGTCTCTCTGTGGGGTGGGGAGAGGGTGGTCGCACTCCCCGCAGCTCTGAGGTGTGGCAGAGGCCGGACCCCGTGGCTGGTTTTCCTTTTGTTCCTCAGGCTGCGTGTAGTTGCCTGTTGGTCTCCAGGCCCCGGGGAGCCCTGTGCTGGCTCCTCACCCTGCACGAGAGGGCGGGCTCCTCCCGGAACCCCGGCCTGAGGATGCTGCTCGGGCCTTGTTCCCCCGCCCCGCCCCCGAAGGAGGCTGCAGAGGGAGCCTGGCGCTGGCCGCTGGGCCTCGGTGGTGAGCACATGTTCACAGGAATTGCAGGGTCAGAGATGCTGCGCAGAGCGTGTCCCGGGTCATTGGCAGGGAAGCGCTGGGCCTCTTGGGGAACAGTCTTCCAGGGAAAGCCTCTCCCACTGCCCCAATCACCATGGCAGCTCCCATTCCCATACGGAGCACTGCACCCAAGGGAGAGGCTGAGAGCTGGAGGCTGCCCTCTGTTCTTCAGGAAAGTGGGCGTGTCCCTGGGACTGAGCCTCTGGGTGGGCGAGTGTGCTCCGGGCGGCATACACTCCGCTCCCGTACGCTCCGCTCCCGTATACTCCGCTCCCATACACTCCGCTCCCATACACTCCCCTCCCATACACTCCGCTCCCACTCCCATACACTCCTCTCTGGGCAGCATACACTCCGCTCCCATACACTCCTCTCTGGGCAGCATACACTCCGCTCCCATACACTCCTCTCTGGGCAGCATACACTCCGCTCCCATACACTCCTCTCTGGGCAGCATACACTCCGCTCCCATACACTCCTCTCTGGGCAGCATACACTCCGCTCCCATACACTCCTCTCTGGGCAGCATACACTCCGCTCCCATACACTCCTCTCTGGGCAGCATACACTCCGCTCCCATACACTCCTCTCTGGGCAGCATACACTCCGCTCCCATACACTCCTCTCTGGGCAGCATACACTCCGCTCCCATACACTCCTCTCTGGGCAGCATACACTCCGCTCCCATACACTCCTCTCTGGGCAGCATACACTCCGCTCCCATACACTCCTCTCTGGGCAGCATACACTCCGCTCCCATACACTCCTCTCTGGGCAGCATACACTCCGCTCCCATACACTCCTCTCTGGGCAGCATACACTCCGCTCCCATACACTCCTCTCTGGGCAGCATACACTCCGCTCCCATACACTCCTCTCTGGGCAGCATACACTCCGCTCCCATACACTCCTCTCTGGGCAGCATACACTCCGCTCCCATACACTCCTCTCTGGGCAGCATACACTCCGCTCCCATACACTCCTCTCTGGGCAGCATACACTCCGCTCCCATACACTCCTCTCTGGGCAGCATACACTCCGCTCCCATACACTCCTCTCTGGGCAGCATACACTCCGCTCCCATACACTCCTCTCTGGGCAGCATACACTCCGCTCCCATACACTCCTCTCTGGGCAGCATACACTCCGCTCCCATACACTCCTCTCTGGGCAGCATACACTCCGCTCCCATACACTCCTCTCTGGGCAGCATACACTCCGCTCCCATACACTCCTCTCTGGGCAGCATACACTCCGCTCCCATACACTCCTCTCTGGGCAGCATACACTCCGCTCCCATACACTCCTCTCTGGGCAGCATACACTCCGCTCCCATACACTCCTCTCTGGGCAGCATACACTCCGCTCCCATACACTCCTCTCTTGCTCCTGTACACTCCGCTCCCATACACTCCTCTCCCATATACTCCGCTCCGGGCGGCATACACTCCGCTCCCATACACTCCGCTCCCATACACTCCGCTCCGGGCGGCATACACTCCGCTCCCATACACTCCTCTCCCATACACTCCGCTCCGGGCGGCATACACTCCGCTCCCATACAGTCCGCTCCCACTGGGCAGCATACACTCCGTTCCCATACACTCCGCTCTGGGCAGCATACACTCCTCTCCGGGCGGCATACACTCGTGGTTTGAAATGGCCCGGAGACCGGTCAGGTCGGCTCCTGCCCACAGTGGACTTGGGCCAAGAACAGGGGCGCCCAGGGGCCGTGAGGAACCGGATCTGGATGTGATGGAGTGGAGCCGGGAAGAGGCGGAGCCTCGCGTGCACCCTCGTGTGGGTGTGTGTGCAGTGATGACGTTGGGAAGCCACAGGCTAAACAGGAAGCTGGAGGGGTGGGCTGCCTGGGTCAGGTGGGCAGGAAAAGCAGGTGCTGGCCGCTCTGTGTCCTCCGTGCGGAGCCCTGCATCGCGGTCGCACGGGACCACGGGGGAGGCAGAGATGGGGTGCTCAGAGGCGTGGGTTCTCTCCCTGTGGGGTGTGGGGTGTGAGGACAGGCTCCGGCTGCTGTTCTGTACACGGGATGGGGACTCGAGCCCATGCCCAGAGGCGGAGCTCTCCCTGGCCACCCACTGGCTCAGCCTCGGCGAACAGCAGGGCCGGTCATGGCGCTATCCTCTGCCCTCCCACGTCTCCCCCTCCTGGGCAGTCAGAGGAAAGGGAAGGTGGTTCTCCAGTGGCCAGGGGGCCGGGACCTGTCTCGGTGGAGGCCACTGGTGGTCACAGGCCTCGAGGACACCGCGGAGGCTGCTCTGGTCCTTGCCAGGAGCGCTGGGCAGTCACGGGGCACTCAGGTTTGCCCAGAGCCCCAGCCAGGGGCCCAGGGAAGGTGACTCTTGCACCACTCCGGGTGGCCACCGGCCTGGCCTAGGGCCCACTCGGCCTGGGCGCTGCAGCCACCCAGGACCCATCCTGCCCGTCTGGCTGCTGCTTCTGTCCCCAGTCCCTGTACTGCCTTACGCCCAGCCACCAGCCCAGCCCCCCTCTGGGCCCAGACGTCACCATGCTTTCTGGTGACCAGGAGGGTGTCCAAGGCCACCTCCCATCCCTGGCCCCTGCTGCCCTCGCCCGCCCTCGGTCCTTAGGGCGACTCCCCAGGCCGCCCTTGTTCTGTCCGAGGCTGTGGGGCCTCCCTCGACCCAGGTGTCGCCTGTCACACAAGACTGGCCTGGGTCCCGCTGCCCTCTGAGCTCTCCTGGCACCTCACCTGGGAGGGGCTCCCCTCCCCCAGGCAGCTCAGTGCTTCCGCCAGGTGCCAGCAGTAAAGGTGGGGTGCTGGCAATGCTGTGTACCCCACAACAGAGTGGCCCCAACATCAGGACCCCCACAACACAGGGATCTCGAAAGCATGACCTAAAGGAGGGTGGGCGGGCCGGTGGGGACCGGGTCTGACCTCGGACCTGCTCAGCACCTGCTGGGGTGGGCGGGGCCCTGTCCGGAGAAGGAAGTGGTCACACAGGTGTGTTCGTTTGTCAGCTGGACTGGCCTCAGGTGGGTCCACGTGGTTTATGGGTGTGATTTACACCTCATTGGAGCTCATTTTTCAAAAGCCCCCGCATTGGGGGGTTCCACTTAAAAGGCTTGTTTTCCTCTTGAGGGGTCAGGAGTTGTGGTCACCCACCGCCTGGCAGCAGCCTCTGTCCACCCCTGCGGTGGCCAGGCAGCTCAGCAGGTGCCGGCTCATGGCTCCTGTTGGCTCCTGTCTCATGGTGCAGGGGCCCAGCCAGCCCCTCAGCCCAGGGCTCCTGTTCTCAGAGGGGTTTGCTGGGAGGCTCCTCCAGGCCTTGCCCCAGCCATGGGGGGGTGGGGGCTGGGGGGCTGGGGCCTGGCTTCAGCCAGGCTGGTCTCGGTGTTGCTGACCTCTGTCCTGCCCTGAGGAGCCCCCTCTGCTCCGAACGTGTGTGTCCTGTCTCCCTCCCCAGCGCCCGTGGCGGGGACACCGGGTGGGCTGTTCTCCCTCACCGGGCCTCCTGCTGCAGAGCCCCTGGTTGGAGAAGGGCTGTGGGCGTGGAGTCCTGCCGGCATCGCCCCATGTGGGCTGCCCTCGGCTCCCCGCCAGCTGGCCGCCCGCCACCCAGTGTGGCCGCACCCGGACTTTGGTCCCTTCCGGTCAGAATGACTTCCCGGCCTCCTTCCTCGGGAGGCAGGTTCGCCCTCCCCCCTCAACCTCGGGCATGTCTGGGGTCAGGGGAGGCGGAGGAGCCTCAGAGCCCGCATTCGGCCTCTCACCAAGAGACGCAGACAGTGGTCCCCAACAGCCCCCCCCCCCCAACCTCATCCTCAGAAGCTGGTGAGGGTCTCCAGGCACCTTGTTCGCCTGGGACCCCTCCAGCCTGTGGCAGGTCCCATGGCAGCTCCCCGACACCCCTCCCCCCAGGCCGAGTCACCTTGGTGCCCCAGACACTGCTCCACCCACCCCAGGTGTCACCACTGTGCCAGTCACTGGCCCCGCCTGGCCATGCTGACTGTGCTGTGGGCGGCGGCCGGATGTTACTTTCCATGACAACCTAACAGGCCTGGCCCTGAGCCGACTGTGCCAGGCCCCGGAGAGGCAGGCGGAGCCGGCAGGCACCTCGCGGCTCCCAGGGCTCCTCCAGGGTCTGGGTGCCCGCCTGTGGAGCCGTCCGGTCCCCCAGTGGCTGGGGAGCCTGCAGAGGAGGCCCCTCATGCTCAGACCCAGTGCCTGCCGACTCGCCGCCGGCCTCGGCCTCCGCACACAGTGCGCCCTCGGACGGCAGGAGGGAAGCTGGGGGACAGGAGGTCTGGGGTCTTTCCCCGACCGACCGCAGGCTGCCCCCACTTCCAGCAGCGGCCCCGAGGGCTGACTGTGAGCCCTTCCGGCCTCATTCCTTCATGCACTTGCTCATCAGGCTTCCAGCGGCCCTGGCCTCCACTCCATCCGCCCCCCAATCCTCTGCTTTTACCGACAAGCAGTCTCCAGCTTCCCTGGCTCTGACCAGGGTGAGGTCTTTAGACAGTGAGGTCGACACTTTCTAGTTCCCCCTTTCCCCCCAAAATGTTCCCTGAGCACCTGGGGGCCCCAAAGAATGGCATTGTCACTGCGTGCTGGGAGCTGACAGCCTTCTAAGCAGGGCACTGAGGGACGAGGGGGATCCCCAGGGATCCAGGGTGAAAGGTCGGGGTAGCGTCACTTTCTCATTGGACCCCCAGGGCCTTGTGAGGTGGGGCCCGCCTGGCAGACTCCAGCAGAGGGGCTCAGGCAACGAGAGCAACAAGGGACACAGCTTTAATGAGCCAAGGCCAGGCTGAGCCGGAGCCCGAAACCCAGGTGGGAGCAGGCCTCCCCCTTCTGCCCTTGGGCCTCCCTGTTCCCAGGCTGCAGCTCCCAGCAGGGGGCAGGCCTGGACCACAGGCTGTGACCAGTGGACCGAGTAGGGCTCAGGTCAGGTGGCGTCCGGCCGCTTCTCAGGTGCTGCAGCCCCAGGCCATGTGGGCCTTTCTCCCCTGTTCTCCCTGCCTCCCCTCCTCTCCTGTGGCAGTTGGTGGGAGCAGGCCTTAGAGTTTGCCCTGGCAATCTAGGAGGGCTCCATGGAGGAGGCCAGAGAGGGTCTTCCAGGCAGGGGACCCCCGTGACTGTCTGCACTGCCCCCCCACCCCCCACCCCCCCACACACATAATACATAATGGTCTATTTCCAATTTTGCTTGTGGTAATTTTCTATAATTTACTGAAAACAGTGCCCAACCCCAGGCCCCAGGCCCCAGCCGCTGACGCACACCTTCCTCACAGGCTGGTTGGGCAGCAGCCTCGGGGCTTGGCTTCGTCACTGCTGTGGAAATGACCTCACATGGGGAGTTTCGAAGAGGCGCCTTCATTGTCCCTGGCCAGGGGTTCGAGGACCAGTTTCGCTGCCTGGGGAAGGTCCCCGCGGACCCTGAGTATCCCAGGGGCCATACCCACTGAGGAGGCAAAGCCCAGCGCGGCCCCTCGTTCTCAGAAGTAGTGACCACATGTCCCCAACCCAGAAGCCCCCTGCAGGGGCTGTGCCTGCCCAGGCCTTGGGGTTCGGTGGAATGGACTGGACTCACGCTGGCCGGCCGTGTGACCCCGGATGAGTCATCTCAGACCCTAATCTCCCTCCCAATCTGGGGCCTAGATCCCTGGGCTGCTGCTCCCCGGGAGGCGGTCCCTGGTGGGCAGCTATCCTGGTGGGTCCTCTAGGCTCCTGGCTGTCAAGTGGTCCAGGGAGCTCCCCTGCCTCCACCCCCCCCCCAAAAAAAAGATCTCCGACCAGCACTTCGCCTCTGTCTCCTGGGAAGTAGGCACCACAGTCCAGTCCGGTTTCCAGAGGGACCCGCTGGGGCGGAGACGGGCCCTCCCCTTGCTCCAGGCTCAGGCTGGTTTGGCCTGGTTTGGCCCAAGCTGCACAGGGATGGAGCAGCTTCGGACATGGGTGGTCGAAGCCGCCTCCTCTACCCCCACCCCCGCAGGTCCCAGGCCTGGGCGGGGCTGTTGGGAGTGAGGCTGCCGGGGTGGCCTGACCGATTCCCACCAGTCACTCAGGGTCCTCTCCCTGGGGTCCCCCGCCCCCGATGACCTGTCCTCCCAGCTCCCGCTGACACCCACTTGTCAGCACTACCCCCAGGTCACCACCAACCCCTCCCAGAGCGGCCAGACCCACGGGCAGAGTGAGCACCAGGTGGGTGGGACGGGCAGGGCACCTCACCCCACTCTCCCAGCCTGGCCTGCTCCTGCTCTCCCACGTCCTCCCTTCCTCCACCCCAAGCCCCGCCTCTCCCCCCCACCCTGGGGCTTCTCTTTCCACACCTGCAAAGTAGGGGGAACATGCCCCCCGCGGGGCGGTCTCTGGGTCGGTGCACAGAGGCTGGGCATGTGCCTGCACACCGACCCCATTGACCTTCACGGCCCCTGCTCCCGTCTCCTGGGGACTGGGCCTCCCCAGGAGTCCTCCCAGCTCTCCAGGCCTCACCGCCCCACCCCACCCCACACACCACGCGCCCCTGCTCCCGTCTCCTGGGGACTGGGCCTCCCCGGGAGTCCTCCCAGCTCTCCAGGCCTCACCGCCCCGCCCCACCCCACACACCACGCGCCCCTGGCTCGGCTCCTCTCCTCTCCTGCGAGGACCAGCACAAGCAAGGCCTGCAGCACCCAGTAGGGCCTTAAGCAATGCCCAGAGTTCAGGCTCCACCAACTGGCCCTTGGTGGCGGGGAGGGCGCAGCTGGCACACTGGTGGACCTCGGAGGGGCCCTGCAGAGCGGTGGGCACCCGGGGGTGGCCGGATGGAGGCTCCCCAGGGACAGTGACAGCTGCACCCCTGGTCTGTGCCTGGTGTCCCACTGTCCCAAGGACCAGGTCTGCCCAGCAGCCCGAGACCCGCTCAGCTCAGCACAGGCTGCGCTGGCCAGGGCTGGTGGGCTGGGGTGTCCGCACCCCCACCCCCACCCCCACCCCCAACCAGCCCTCTAGCCAGACACCTGGCTGCCATTTGCACAGACCTGAGCCAGCGATGTCCCTCCAGGGTCTGGACCACCCACAGAGGTCAGGGGGCTTGGCCGAGGCTGCACAGCCAGGGCCAGGGGTGTGTGTGTGTGTGGGATGGGGGGCGGGGGTAGGGGCTGGTCCAGGGTGGGCTCCAGCTCCGCCTTCTGCTCCCAGCACTGGGTTGCCCCGGGCTGTCCGGGGCGGAAATGTTGAATTCTGTGGCACCAGGACACCCGCGTTTCGGGCGGACCCATCCCACAGGTGGAGGGTGCTGGTTCTCACCGCCCCACTCTCTGCCACTCCTGCTGGGTCACAGCTTCCGTGGGCGTGGAAGGTGGGGCCCCGGCGGCTGCGCACCCCAGAAATCCCCGTGGCGGGCTCCACCCCCACCCCTGGGAACCGGGAGGAGTCGGCCACCAGTTCCTGCTCCCGTTCAACCCTTGAAAGGAAGACGGTAAATAGAACGCCGGGCGCCGGCGATGACTCAGCCGCCCCCGCTGCCCTCGCCC